CTTCAATTGCTGGTTATAGAGCAGGAATTGCTACGTGAAATTCTGTGCACAGACTGAGCAGTTGCAGCACAGTCCCTTTGGCATTAAGATCTGTGAGCTCCTAAATGAGCACAGTTAGTTTGCCTGTCTTATGCTCCTGAGGCATATGATTTCTTTGACTATTCATAAAATAACTGGTTCCTCCCTAGGAATGTTGATAGATACCAAATGCTTCATACTTTTTAGCACAAATAATAATTTGTCCTTAAATTTGTACTAAAATTTCTCGTGGTTCCCATATTTAGAACCCATTGATCATCCCAGCCAAGGAACGGAAATAATCATGCGAATTAGACAGCCAGTCTCACATCACTGGGTAACGAAAAAACAAATAACTGGACAACATAAAAATAATTCCTAGGCTGCAGTTTGGTGAACAGCTTTAATGAACACACTCAAATACTGAGCAGTTCAGAAATCAAGAATAAGTCAGAGAAAGAAAAGAAGGTAAAGAACATTGCATTTATTGGGTGCTATATTTGTGATGATCATTTCTACCAGCTGTAGCGAGTAGGTTTCTGTCATGAGGCTGATGCTGTCCCCTTTGTGTTCTGCTCACCACCTTTCCTGATGCCCAGGAGCCTCTTCTTGATTCTTTCTTTGTTGCTGTAGCTCCTATAACTGCTTTATGTCTTTTATGATGTCATATTTACTTGCACTAAAAGGTACTGCAAACCAATTTACAGTTAAGTATTGCATCACTTTTTACGTCACCATATTAAAGACCCTTGTAGCATTTCCATTTTAAACCCTTATTGCAGATTTTATAAATCCTGCCTGCTTCTGATTACATCAGGCTGAAGACAACTGTGTATATGTTATCCCCACAGAGTGATTTACAGGGAATAGCAGGCATCTATTTATTTTAAAATATGAGGCATCAGAAAAGGCAGTGATTTTGCATAGTCTCTTTTTTTAATACTAGGCTTTTATTCACAGGAGAACACAAAAGCTCTGATTATTTACCTTGTAACGGGAGATGAATTGAGTGGAATTAGTACAATATTAAGAAATAGAAGGAACTGGCTAAAATTTGTCAAGAGTTGCCTTTTTTACCTTGTTATTTACATGAGAACACAAGGGATTGCTTGAAGAGATTCAGAACTGATATACAGAACAAGAATTTTTTTTTTCTTTATAAAGTATAAGACCAGTGGCTGTTCTGGGGGGTTAATCAAGGCAAACCTTGTGGCTGACTTAACAAATAGGAGCTCTCGATCTCATGGTGTATTAGAAGCAGCTGTTGCTTCACAGAGTATGGGACATGGCTGTTGCGTCATACCCCATTTGGATCACAGTAACTGTGGGGTATCGGAGGAGTCTGTCCTGGGACCCATCCTGTTTAACACCTTTATCAACAACCTGGAGGATGTGGTAGAAGGCACTTTTATGAGGTTTGCAGATGACAGGGATCTGGGGGCACTAGGTGATAGGCAGGAGGGCAGGCTGGAGGGACAGGCCGGTATGGATGCTGTTGTTCATAGATCAGAACAAAGTTGTGCTGTCTTATATAAGCACAGGATGTGATACAAAATGTACAGATCTTTCTCAGCCTCCTCCAGTTTTCTTGTCTATAGCTGAGCTTTACTTCTTAGTTGTTGTATTCTGTTTAATCTCTCTTTTCAAGTGGACTATTGGGCATTGACCAGTGCCAAGGGCCAGGAAACCACTCCACAGAACTATCTTTATTTCAGCTTTTCGTATGTTGCTGTTCCGCCTCCTGTTCCTCAGGCCTTGGTAAATCTCATAAAATCCTTTTCAGACTGAAATCTTACTCTTGCCAAGATGTAACATGTTTTACAGCATGTATTTTTCTATAGTTGTCTTAGTCTCTTGTTGCCGGTCTTTAGGTATCAGTTCCTTGTCTGGTAAATGTCTTCCTTATTCTTAAATTTATCCACTGTGTTTTGTTCAGAGCAATGCGTGGGGATAATAAATTGGCTCACAAGTACCTGACACTGCATCTTAGTTCTTTCCATCATGCCAGTTTTTCATAATACTGAATCCTAGGGATGCCTTGAAGAAGCCAGCAGCATTTTTCCCACTTACACATCTCCCAGAAGAGCTGCCAGCTGTCTGGATTTCTCTGCTAAACTGACTCAATGGATGTGCTTTCACAAAAGGTGTACCAATAGTTTAATAGATTTATTCCAGAATATGATAATAAACAGTTGTTTCAAATGTCAGTTTTAAGACTTGCAAAATGCAACTATGTACATGCATAAAATCAGAGCATAAATCAGCTCAGTAAAACAGCTTTGTAAATATTTATGAGTGCAAGGCTCTTTGTTTCACACTTACTCTTTGTGTGCCCTCATACTAAATTTTCACCTGCTTTACTTTATGACTGGTAGTCTGGGCCAAGTACCTGACATTGCTAAATTGCCGCCTGTTTTCTCTGGTATTGCATATACCACAATCCTTTATTGACTGCAGGTTAACATATGATCCATAGAAAGAAATCTGTTTGTGTGGAGGGGCAGATTCTGAATTCTGGTGGACCCATGTGAAGTTTAGCAGGCACCATGTTGCTGAACTAAAGCATAGCCTTGGTTTGTCCACTGAGTTGCCATCTCTGCAGTGGCTGCAGGCGAGGCAGGACCCAAGTTCCCCGTTTGTGTTGGTATTTTGGATGGGGCCAGTTATTCATGAGGGAGAAGAAAAGGAGAGACGTTAAAAAGATGGTTGACAGGATGAAAGGTAAAGGTGTGGAACGAAGGAGATGTGAAGAGGCCGTGAAGGAGCAGTGGGAAAAGAATCAGAGCTGTCAGGGTACAGCAGAGACAGTCTAGTGGGGACTGCAAAGATAAGTTATCATCTCATGCAAAAGTCTTTGCCTCCCTGCCTCCTTTTTCTGTGGCTGTGATCCCTGTCCCAGGCATCCTAGCATTTTGGTGGCCCAGAGGAGAGGGAATGACCCTTTTACTCCTTCCTTTGCAGCAGCCACAGGTGAGGGGAGAAGTATGCAATCACATAGGCATCATTTTTTTGCAATTTTTACAAAGTTGTGCAAGTGCTCGCTACTCCCTTTTGTCCCATGTTAGCGCTGCAATTTCTATTTCTCTGCACTAATTCACACCAAAATCTCTGATTTAGTAGCGTTTTATCCCTATTTAACTTGTACCAGATAGCGCCATGTTAATTGATATATATAATATCTATATAATAACCAGAAATAAAATCTAAAAATAAACCTACTGATAATTTTCCAGTGCTTGTGTAACCGAATCCTTGAAGTTCCCGAGTGGTCAGTTTGGACTAAGTACCATCATTTTTATTCCATCTTGCCTGCTGGCTCTCCAGGATTTTTGAACTGCAGCCTGCAAGGGGCAGGAACAGGTGGTGCTGGTGGCAATTCAAGATGTATTATTCTGATTGAGGAGCTGGTTTCTGCTGCATCGTGAGAGGCTTTGGCAGATCAAGAGCTGTTGCTCCTGAGATCCTGCCAGGCATGCTTCCCATGTGTTTCTGTGTGTCTTCGATGAAAATGCATGGGATCAGCAGAGCAGGGGTTTTCGGGTGTGAAAATATTTTCCATGATGTTTACACATCTTCACTTGAGATTTGTTAAGGACAGCCAGATACACTGCCGTTACTTGTATTTAATCGTGTTTGCATTGTCATTAGTGAAAAATAATGGAGAAAGAGAACTCGTTCATGTGCATGCAGACTTATCAGAAGATTCCTACACAATGTACAAATTTACATCATTTAATGACTTAGCATGCATTTAATCATATCCATGCAGATTTAAGTGTCTGTCTGACTGCAGTGGTATCATTCATTAGCAATTCCCCTCAAGTCAAATGATCATAGGTTTGGCATAAACACACAAAAAAATTCTTCAAAGAGTAGATTTTGGGAAGCTTATCAGCTCTTCTTCTTGCAGTTGTGACAAATTTTGTAGTTTTTTACACACTCCTCAAGTACACCGCTGGGGTACTCAAGAAAATAAAATGCTGTTTGATCCAATAGGATGTTTGTCTTTGGTGAGTCGTGCTTAAGGTTTTTATTCTTTGATTTGTGTAGTTAGTCAAAAAATATCTAAGATCTTTTGCAGATGATTTAACTTCCAGGTGTGTCCCTTTACTTCGTGTTTGCTGCTGGCCAGTTCCAGCTTTCTGCAGCCCTGAGGTTGCTCTTCTGAGATGCTGTGCTCTCCATATCCAGGACACAGGGCTGGGGTGGGATCCAGCTGTTGTGAACCAAGGGCCAGAGGGCTTTGGAGATGTGGAGTGGTCACCATGAAAGAGAGGACATTTCAAGAGGATCTTGAGAGGAATTAATGACAACATTGCTGTCCATCTATTTCCTAGAAAAAAATAGAGCATAGTTCTGCTTTCATTAATTCCAACGAGATAGATGGAAAACGTCTGCTTCTGTGAAATTAATTGAATAAGAATGGGAGTGTATCCTCACACTAGAAGATACCTTGTCTAGGTGCACAAAACAAGTCTGAGATGTTTCCTTGAATGTGCAGCACCAGTTCTTTCTGCAACAGCGAGCAGCGAGCAAACCCTCAGAAATGACGGCCTCGATGTTATGTATCTGCTTTCCCTGCAGTCCCTCTCCTTCATCCTGGAAGATGCAAGACTGGGTTCCCTGGGGAAGCTTCCTCTCAAAATTATACCTCTCCAGAGAGCTGGGATTGTGAATGACCTCTGTTTGCAACACTGACTACAGTAAATGCTATTGTATGATCCAACAGTAGCGAATTAAATAATCCCACTCCTGTCACTTTCTAACAGGATAATGTTAAAGGAATTCCACTGAGATAGAGAGTAATAATTTGCTAATTCCCCTCAGTATTTCATGCTTCTCAGTAGTGCAGCTAATTTTCTCTGAGTACCTTATTAACATTCACAACGACTTTGCAGTCCCACCCTAATAGCTCTCCGCAGAGGCAGTGACTGTGAAGGTGAGAGCTGTCAGTGACATATTTTCCTCCTTTTCCTCTGCAGACTGTATTATCCTGGTTTCCATCCACTGAGGGCTGTCCAGCTGATGCGAGTGGGCAAGCTGCAGTACAGTCAAGACATGTTTCCTCAAGCGCTGGAGACCTTGAAACAGGTCAGTGTTGTGGACTATTTCCTCTCTGTTCCCCTCCCTCGCTTCCCCCACACCTGCTGCGTGTCCTCTCCTTCTGCTCTGGCTGTACCTCTTGCCTGTGGATACTCCTCACTGCTTTTTTGATCAGTGGTGTTTCCCCAGGCTGCAGCCGAGTGTGGTGATGGGTCACTGTTGCTCAGCGTTTCAGGCACTGACTTCTTCCAGTATCAGTCACTGCTAATTACAGTTCAATAGCTCAGAGGTGCCTGGATGAAAAATTGCTATTAGATCCGAAGAGAGAAAAACATCTCAGTGCCTCGTACTCTCCTTCTCACCGTAGCAAAGTCAGTCTGGGAGCACTGAAGTACAAGAACAGGAGCAGAGCTGCAGTTTCTACCCTCCTTATTCCCTATCAGGGATCGGCAATTTCAGACTGGAGCACTTTGTCTTTAGTGCTTGTATTTGTTGTAAGCCACACTGAAATCAACAGGCATGCTTCCTGATCCCTCCTGTTTCTATATCATTCATCATCTTTCTCTTCTTTGATCTGGTTTTGCAGCTGGTGCATTGCTAGTTACATTTCAGATTTAAGCCATCCCTCTTGTACCCGAGCTAACTTTATTATTCATTTCCTCCTACCCCAGACTCTTATTTGTCCTGATGTTATACTGCTGTTAGTATCATCTTAAATGTATTGAAGAATCCCCTTCCATGTGCAACACGTCCTCAGGACATAGGCTCTCACTCACTTCCCATCTCAAGCCTTCAATCACTGCTAGGGTGTTTTTCTCCCCCGGAAGATGTGCTCCTCCAGTTCCCCTCAAAGAGGTCTTCTGCTTATTCCCTTGTGTTGTTGACTGTCCTGACGTCAACTTGGCATGAAGACAGTACATGCTCTGTGTCGTTCCCCCCTTGTCATGTGGCCACCTCCAGTGCCTGACAGCCTCGTCGTTGCCTTTGCTGGGGGCTGCAGAAAGCTGCCTGGCCCAGCTACTTGCCTGTTGGTGCTGGGCAGGAGCAGGCCCCAGCACTGGCACCAGTGTTGGAAAGAAGTGCAGAAGGTGGCTATATGTCCCCTTTGTTTAATGTCCGTACCACATGAAGAGCCAGTCTTGTGGCAAAGACTTAGGGCAGCTGCCTGGGATAGAAGGGGATGGGTGTCTGCACTGGGGGTAGGGGGAGAAGCGGTTTTTACTCCTGCCTGGATCCCCTATAAAGTTGATATCAGTCATAAATCTCTAGACAACTTAGTATTTTGTACTTACTTTTTTCAATCCCCATGTCTATTTGGTTTTAACATCTAACTAATTATGGAAGCTGAATAACAGATAATTTCCACATATTGAAATAAAAAATTAGTATTAAATATGGTGACAGTCTTACTAAGTCTCAGTAACTTAAATCTTCACTTGATATATTTAACTTAAATTATGGCCAATTCTGATCATTGAAAAGCAAATCGAAGAGTAATCAATTCTATTCAGAAGTAAGTCATACATCTTTCATGTGACAGGTAATCTGCTCTGCTACTTCCCCCATAATATTTATAATTTCCGAACATTCAGACTTTGCTCTTTAGCAGGTGGAGTGAGACCCCAGTCAGAAGAGCTTCTATTTTCATTGATGTTGCTGCAATATATCAGCAGGCATACTTCTAATTGCATTTCTAATATGATACTGCATTAAATTAAACTGGAGTGTATTCCTCTACAGACATCTGAATGCTGCCTATCAGTGAAGGTGGAACTTGTGGTGGGGTTTGGTATGTTTTTGGTGAAGACATTGCCCATTGCAAGCTATGAGGGTGGTGAGGCCCTGGCACAGGTTGCCCAGAGAAGCTGTGGCTGCCCCCTCC